TGCCATCACTGAGAAACCAACTCTGGTTATTGGCAGCTTGATAGTCAGGCACATATTTTAGCGAAGCCAGCAACCACAGTTATATGTATACCTGGGGCCAGAGCGAGCGACATCGAATCATATTTAAAACTGCTAGCTAAGGATAAACGTAAATAGAATAAAATTGTTATTCACGTCGGCAGTAATGACGCCCGATTACACCAATCGGAGGTCACAAAAATGAATGTGGAGTCGGTGTGTAATTATGCTAAAACAATGCTGGACCACTGCCCAATCTGACCAGTGATGACATGTATAGCTGCATGTCGTCATTCAACCGCTGGCTGTCGAGGTGGTGTCCAGAAAACGATGTGGGCTTCATAGATAACTGGTGGACCTTCTGGGGAAAACCTGGTCTGATTAGGAGAGACGGCATCCATCCCACTTTGGATGGAGCGGCTCTTTTATCTAGGAATATGACAAAGTTTATTTCTGATCCTAAAACCTGACAATCCAGAGTTGGGACCAGGAAGCAGAGCTGCTGTCTTACATACTTCTCTGCGCTTTCTTTAGAACAGTCACCCACCCAAAACCCCATAGAGACTGTGTCTGTCCCCCAACCACCTAAATTATTTAAAGAAATAAAAACAAGAGGAATTAAAACAAAAAATAAAATAATGAAATGTGGACTATTAAACATCAGGTCTCTGTCCTCTAAAGCTGTTCTAGTGAATGAATTTACTTTGTCTTACTGGGACCTGGCTATGCCACGAAGAATATGTTAGCCTTGTTCTTAGTCTTTCTCACCCGACCTGGAAAACACTCCATCCAGTTTTGTTTGTTATAGTGTATTGCGCTCCTGTACCGTACTCTGATTTTCTATCTGCTTCTGTCAGAGTGTAAATAAACCCACTCATTGTTTTAATCACACTCTTGACCTGGTTTTATCATATAGTATGGTATTGAACATTTAATAGTCTTCCCAACAAAATCCTTTTCTATCTGACCGTTATTTAATAACTTTTGAATTCCTATTCCAGTGCTGTAGCTAAATTTAAGGAGGAGATTCCATCAATGTTTAATTCAGTCCTATAACAACTTTAGTCCCTCCCAAATTGATCATCTTGTTAATAGTGCTGCAGGCTCACTGCAAACAACACTAGATTCTATCGCCCCTATAAAGAGGAAAATATCAAAACATAGAAGGCTAGCACTGTGGTACAACCACCAAACCCGCCAATTAAAGCAAAAAGCGCGATAGTCTTAAAACTTATAGAAAGGCCCTCCGTAATGCCAGAGGAGCCTATTATTCAGCACTAATAGAAGAAAATAAGAACAACCCTAGGTTCTTCTTCAGCACTGTAGCCAGGCTGACAGAGAGTCACAGCTCTATTGAGCCACATATCCCCATAACCCTCAGTAGCAACGACTTTACAAGCTTTTTTTATGATAAAATTATTACTATTAGAGAAAAAATTAATAACCAAATGCCCTGAACAGCTATCACTGTCTCTTCAAGTTCAGGAACTTTAACAAATGTAAAATCAGATATAGACTGTCTGCTATCGATCTTCATCAACTAATTTCAATAATTTTTACATCGAAGCCACAACCTTTTAGACCCCGTCCCAACTAGGCTGTATAAAGAACTCTTACCCTTAATTGGCACTTCTTTACTGGATATGATCAATCTTTCTTTATTATCAGGATATGTACCACAGTCCTTTAAAGTAGCTGTAATTAAACCCCTTCTTAAAAAGCCCACTCTTGACCCAGGGGTTTTAGCCAACTATAGACCGATTTCTAACCTCCCCTTCCTCTCTAAGATTCTGGAGAAAGTAGTCGCCAACAGTTGTGTGACTTTCTACATAACAACAGGTTAGTTGAGGATTTGCAGTCAGGATTTAGAGTTCATAACAGCACATTTACACTACATCAGAAAACTAACTCATTCATACACATTCACACACCGATGCACAGCATCGGGAGCAATCTGGGGTTCAGTATCTTGCTTAAGGATACTTCAACATGTGGTGGGAGGAGCCAGGGACTGAACCAACAACCTTCTGATTAGTGGATGACTCGCTCTGCCTCTGAGCCACAGCCGCATTTGACACCATTGACCATAATATTCTTTTACAGAGACTTGAGCATCAAATTGGCATTAAAGGAACCGCACTAAGCTGGTTTAAGTCATATTTATCAGATTGTTCGCAGTTTGTACACGTTAACGATGAATCTTCCATAAACACTAAAGTTAGTCATGGAGTGTATTAGCATGTATTAGCTTAAAATCCTCCTCCTCACATACAAAGCTCTTCATGGTCAGGCCCCTTCATATCTTAAAGAGCTCATAGTACCCTATTACCCCTCTAGAACACTACGTTCTCTGAATGCTGGGCTACTTGTGGTTCCTATAGTCTCTAAAAGTAGAACAGGAGCCAGAGCCTTCAGTTACCAAGCTCCTCTCCTGTGGAACCAGCTTCCAGTTGTGGTTCGGGAGGCAGACACCCTCACCACATTCAAGAGTAGGCTTAAGACATTCCTCTTTGATAAAGCTTATAGTTAGGGCTGGTTCAGGACTCACCTTAGTTATGCTGCTATAGGCCTAAACTGCCGGGGGATTTCCCATGATGCACTGAGCTCCTCTCTTTCTCTTTCTCTCTTTCTGCACACATTTATGTCCGATTAAAGCATGTTACTAACTTCACTTCTTCCCCGGAGTTCTTGTGCTTTCTCGTCTCCATGTTCTCATGGATCCTGGTGGAGCCTGCTGCTATCCCTCTCTCTCTCCCTATCTTTAACCCCAACTAGTCGAAGCAGAAGGCCACCCACCTAGATCCGGGGTCCGTCTGAGGTTTCTGCCTCTTAAAAGGATGTTTTTCCTTGCCATCGTCGCCAGGTGTTTGGTCATGGTGGGAACTGCTCTATTTGAAAAGTGTCCTGAGATAACTTTTGTTATGAATTGGGGCTATACAAATAAAACTGAATTGAATTCAAATAAATATACTGTATGTAAAAACATCCGAACGAGGAAAAGCATTTTCCTTTCGTCTCCTTCAGTTGTTGTAGGCATACAAGTTTTGGTAGCTGTATGAGTTCACACTGTCAATCCAAGTCCTGCCTTTTCAAACTCTCCTCGCATTCCTACATTCCACCTTCGCTGAAAGAGGAGAAAGAGGAGGAGTGAGAGTGGAAGGTGGGTAGAGGATATGAAGGAGAGGAAGAGGGTTGAGGCCAGAAGAGGAGAGGTGATGACAGGAGAGGTAGGAGGAATGGAGCTCAACAGAAGACGTAGCCCAGTGGTTCTCAACCTGGGGTCAAGAGACCACCAGGGGTCCTTGGGGGGGATTTCATCTCACTATTATTTAATTGACTAAAAGTTGAGAGAATGTATAAAAAATTATATTCTGTTTATACTCGTCACTGTTCAATCTGCCAATCTACAATATAGACAGTTATGGAATAACTCAATCTCATCAAATACAATACTGGTGTATGAATTTGGGGGTCTGACTGATGTAGACGACCTGAAAGAAGGATATAATAGTTCATGATAAAAAAAACATATTTTCATTCACTGCTTTCTCCTTCTACTTGGAATCTATCCGTATCTGGAGGGCTTGGTAATTGCAGCTTCTTACATAAGCATGTAGGGGTACACACACACTGGCCCCAGTACGGGCTGGTACTGAAATGATTAAGCTGGGTTAGCGCAGGGTATAAATCTGGAGAAGGAAAAACTGAGCAGAAGGAAGAAAAGAGGTCAAAGAGAACACACTGAAACTGTGTTCAGTCTTACAGCATTTCCACACATTGCGGTACATCATTTTGACACTGAATTCTAAAAATGTGAATGCAGATAATAGCAGTCTGACAGTGATATTATACAGTGGGATGTTACCGTCTGTTCAGTGTGATCAGATCACATCTGCAAACTGTCAGAGAACAGAAGAACTTAGAAATCAATGTTAATTCGTGTTCCTACAGCGGGATGTTTGAGTTTCACTGTGCATAGCTGTTGTCTGAGGTTTTCTGATGGTATGCAGTGTTGTGATATGTTCCATCGCCTATGACCTTTGGCTCATGTTATTTCTTTTTGTTCTCTCAGGTCCTGTCAGTGTGATAACAGATGAAAAACTGTCAGTTGGGAGAGGCACACACTCTATTAAATTCCTTAAAAGTAATCTACTACTAGCGGGAAGTTGCTTTTTTGGCTTCATGCGCCACTGAGCAGCTTTCATAGGAAAGAACGAAGCGCCGCCTCCAACACTTTATTCAGTTCTCTTTACACCTCCATGACTGGACCAGGATTAAAAAAAATTTGATGTCACAAATCATGCCCCTTAAAATCAGCTTTTCAATGAGCACAGAGAAACTTTCCACTTTCAGCAGATGAATGTGAAAAGGAGGGTGTTTCATCACTAATTCACTTAAAGAGTCTTGCCATCACCATCGAAGTGTGCTTGCGTAACCTAACCTTCACTCACTTAAACTGAAAGATCAGAAAAAAAAAAACGTTTTAAGTCCCACTCATTCAATCCATGAGACAAATTTCCATTATTCTCTAAAATAAGTGAGCTCCCCTGAAAGCCATAGTTTGCACACTTCCCGCAATACCTGTAGTTATAAAAGGCTCATTCTAAGGTAACAAAAACACAGTGATTCCTTTACTTTTTTAGTGTTGTGTAGTGTAATGTTGTAGTGTTTATACACTTATGTCAAATGTCAAAATGTAAAAAAAATGTTAAACTAATATTATATTCCATTTCTGATAGATCCTCCTAAATGTTGTGGACCTTTTAGTAGCTATCCACTGGTTCTGGCAGCAGCAAAAGTTCTTACAGTCTAGATTACTATAATGAGCACAGCAGTGTGGGGTTAGTATGCTAGCAGTAATCGCAGTGTCAGTATAAACAGTAAGTAGTATTGTGGTGTTATGGCTCCAGCGTCATGCCCCGCCCCCTCTGTTGTGTCCCCGAGTCTCGTCAGGTTGGAGGAGGAGGAGGAGGAGGAGGAGGACGGGTTACACTAGCACCTCACGTCCCATACTGGATTTACCGGACTCCACCTGTCGCGAGCGCTGTGGGTTTTTTTTGTGTCCGTGTCGAATGATAACATTGCGCTGTCACACAGGACGGCACGAGACACAAACAAAAGCGCGAGACCTGTTTTTTTAAGCGAGTGTCGCAGGAAAACAGAACATTACCGGACAGCTGAAAGAACCGCTGCGGCTCTAAACGCCTGCTGCTTTATGTTTGGATATTCACCGCTTTTTACCCGCGGACAGAGGAAGAAACAACAAGCATAATTCCGGTGGATGGTTTTATCCGCAGTGCCTCAGCCGACCAGCCAACCGGGGAGCAGAATGTCAAGACAGCAGCAGCACCGGACGCCGTTAAAAGTCACCGACAGCGTGGTGGAGGTCAAGAGCAAAGTGAGTGGTAACGGGGGGTGTTTGACTGGTATTATTAGTGAGGGAGAGGAGAGAAACAGTCATACGGGGTCTGGTGGATGCTAGCGCCGGGTGCACTGACAACACCGACACGACCTTCTGCTGTGGTTACGTGATGTATCTCCCTCCCGCTGTCCGAGGAACGCACCGACTGAACGTTTTCACCGTTCAACTCGGAGAATATTGTGTATGTGTGAAGCTAGTGAGGTGCAGCTGACAGGCGGCCTGTAGGTTCCGCATTCACTCCGTGGTTACCCCCGTCTCTGTCAAAGCACCGATTCTGGATCTGCTGATGAGCCTCTCTCTGCTCTGTGTCTCATTCAATTACTGGTCCCACACTGTGTTCCTGTAATACCGTAGTCGACTATTACCGTTAGTATCAGATTGTATGTGAGTATCGGTGTTGACATATTAGCACAAGGCTACAGTGGAAGGTTAGGCTATGTTTACTTTGTAACTACATACGCAGTTACAGGTTTGAAGTAATAGTACCTTGATAAAGTAGGGGAGAACGGGGTTGGTTATCACATTCATTACATATTGCTTGCTGGTAGTGGCGGATCTAGCCAGGCTAAAAAATGTTTGGCCACCCCAACTGCCACACCAGTTTGGTGTCAAATGCTGTCAAATGTAATCATTAAGATAAAAGTTAAAAGTTTTAAAATAATTTGTCAGAAACTGAAATTAATTTAATCATCTCTTATGGCCACATTTTAGACCAATGAAAACTGTCGTGGGGGCTTTTCCAAGCAAATATTGATATGTGATGAGGCATGGGATGATGACAATTTCATGTCACAGTTATCTTGACTAAAATAATTGCTATCCACAACATTATCGCAATGATCATCAAAAATGTATTTGAATCACTTAACATTTAGTTGAGAAATATATTTTTATTACATCACGGATAGGAACCTCATCTGCTTGTTATTCTTTGAAATCCATAGTATTTTCATACATCCAGTTACCAGACCAGAACCCGAACCGACGCCCACTGCTGCGTTTCATTACACATTTATTCCGTTGTTACCTCCCTCTGTTCCTGCAATACTGTACTGTAGTATTACTTTTATTTTTACTAGTCTGTCAGTATTGTAGCCTATATCGGTGTTTACCATTGACAGTATATATAATGGACAAAGCTTCTGGGTCTGAAAAGGGAAGCCAATGCGGAAGTGTCTTAAACCTGCATTCTATGTAAAGGCCAGCAGGGGGTGCTCTATTGGCTGCAATAAAAAAACGATATCATGCAGTCTAATGGAGAAATGAGCTGACTTCTTACTTGATTTATTAGCTCAGTAACCAGTTTCCTGATGAGTTTATGGTCTCAATCACTAGTTTCAGTCTTTTTCCATACAGCATGATGTTCATTTAGTAGACTATGGTCCAATTTAGAGAGACTTTAAAGCTGTAATGATGATGAACTTTAATGATTGACAGGTTCAGCACAATGCACAAAACTCAAATCAAACTGTCAAACTAGGCAGTGCTGATCAAATATGAATCAAGATTCAGGGGTTACCTCAGGAGTAAGACTTGACACTGAGGTGAGAGGACATTTTCATGTCAAAATGTAAATATTTAACTCTTCTGTGTTTCTTTTTTAGGCAAGGCAGTAATAATAGTCGGGGGAACAAAAACGCACCACCATTCGAAGTAATCATAGGCCAATGTTATCCTAACTAAACTAAACCTAACAAAATTCCATTATTATTACTACTGGTGCTAGTATTACGGTGTACTGCAGTTCTGGTTTGTCCATGTGGTGTTGTGTTATAGGGAGGTAAATCAATGTCAGCACTCTACTGTCTCTCTATTTCAGTACTTTCAACAGCTTTCAAAAGTGGAACTCTCCATTGTAATTCGACTCAGGACTCATTTTTTGCCATCATGCCAAATAATGTATCACTACAGTTAGAATTCCCACCTTACAGCATACCCCTGTATTGATCATTGTGCTACAGGACTTTCAGTCTCTCTCGGGCACACAAAGCAATAGTGTAGCTGTGGGCATATGATCCTGAGCCAAGAGCAAATGTGTTTAAAATGTAAAAAATGTGGGCTGTGGCACAAGCATGCTTCAGTCCCTGATGTCATTGTATATTGTCACAATAAGAATTCCACCGTAATTACACCCACATGAGGTATGCAACAAGGTTACATCATGTTTCCTCTCCGTACTGTTTGTAGACAATGTTTAAAGATTTGCTGAAGACGTACTGAGAAAAGCGTAGTGCAGTGAGTGTGGAATGGTTGTAAAACAGGTAAATGATGGGTAGGTGGCAAATTGATTGGTTCTTTAGGATGGGTACACCTACCTCATGTTCTCTGCTGATGGAAGCAAACTGACCTCACTGAAATTATAGAGGACAGTAAAACACAGCATACTAGTAAAGATGTTTGAGGGTATATTTTGAAAAATGGTTCAAACTGGCCCTAAAATGTCCCTGACACTGTGAGTGAAATAGTTTGTTGTTGTTGTAGTTGTTTGGAGTCATTTTTGTAACATTTCAGAATAGGGATGTAATGATACTCAACTCACAATTCACTATATGATTTTCTCACAATTGTTTTTAACACAATGAGACTGAACACAAATTATGACTGAATAAGATTCCTTTATTTCCCAGTCAAAAACTATTTTTTTATTTCAGAGGAAGGGTATAAACTGTGCAAAACAATGTATCTTTCTTTGTAAAAGTGAATACTCTTAATACCAGGATTGATATTACAATTCATTTTTCTTCATGTATCCGTATCATGATTTAACTGTCTGGTAAGATATATTTACATTCCTGTTAGAGAATTTGGCTTCTTTTGTTATGGGGTGTTTGCAGGGTCTTAAAAAGTCTCCAATCACTGTAAACATGGTGAAGGCAGAGAAAACAACTAGTAGTAGTATTGAAGTAGGTTGTCCGTTTGTCCGTATGCCCCATTCTTGTGAACGCATTGTCTCAGGAACACTTTGACGGCATTTTTAAAAATTTGGCACAAATGTCCACTTGGACTCAAAGATGAACTGATTACAATTTGGTGGTCAAAGCTCAAGGTCACTGTACCCTTACAAAATTAGTTTTTGTCTTAAGAATTAATCATACTTCGCATTTGGTTGGACAGTGAATTAACTTTTGACTCAAAATGGGATACAGCAATGAAGTGATGACATTTATATCCAAAAGGTCAAAGGTCATCACAATGTCCTGGAATATCACATTTTTGTTCTGTTATTCAACACCATAACTCAGGAACAGAAGATTGTGACTATATTTTACAGCTGGTCAGACAATGTACTGGTGATACTTTTGACTCAAAGGTCAAAGGTCACTGTGATCTCAAAATAGATTTTTAGACATAAATAAAAAAAGAATTCATTGGCTGATTCCAGATTTCACACATGTTGACTGGGATGACAGCAAGTAAACAATAACTAGCACAGTACAGGCTTTCATCTTTAAATCTCATCCATTCTTACAACGTATTGAAGCGTGCCTAGCTGATGGTGCCAGGAGAAAATTGTCAGTGAAAACTCAAATTTGGTGGCCTCTGGCACATGGACCTGTACTTGTATAGTGCCTTTCTAGTCTTCCGACCACTCAAAGCACTTGTACACTGCACGCCACATTCACAAAGTCCATCGAACGGAAACTAAGTCATTCATTCACATTCACACACCAATGACACAGCATCAGGAGCGATTTGGGGTTCAGTATCTTGGAGGAGGATACTTCGACATGCAGCCGGGATCATTCTCTCTCTTTGGACTCTCCGGAGTTTACCCAAAAGAACAACTTTGGGTTTCTCTACAGATGTTACCTCTAATCCATCTATCTTGAAATTAAGTGCCCATTATGGTTTTGCTCCATTTTTTTGTATGCGACAATGTATGCTGCAGTATCTTTGAATGAGGAAAAACCAACAGTTCCAAAAAATTGTTTTGCTTGGTGAGATGAGAAAAGTAGGTTCAGTAACAGACAGAAGTTGAAGTGATGTTGGATTTATGTTTTCCTAACCTGAGAGAAGATGGGATGAAGATAAGATAGGATCCCTGAAGATGGTTAGGATTAGTTTGTACCAAATTGGGGACAAACCTATGTTGGACTTTCCCTATATTAAGACTTAAGATAGGAAGTTTCTATAATACCACCACTGATGAAATGAAAATGCATTAATAATTAAAGCTGCAAGCAGCGTTGGGCGGGACCTCGCACTCCACGCGACTTGGGGCGTGGTGCGGCCGTGTCATGTGCCGTCGTAAAGCGTTCGGACCACAACATGAAATTTTCACATCACCCAAGTCCCAAGCCCTCATCGCCAGGAGCTGAGGGAGAGCACTCTATGTTGTCACACGTTTCAGACACTGCAAAAGACTTACGCTTTCGTAGAGAGACTCTTCACTGTGAAAGGTGGAAATTCAGCACCACGCCACAGACGATCATCAATGTGTCCAGATTGCAGTGATCGAATATGAAGTCAATATGATAAAATCTGTAGGAGTTAGTTAAAATAGAAGCCCTGAAATGCCAGAAATGGCATCACAGTGTGAAATTCGATTCAAAATGGCCAACTTTGACGGCACGCCACGGACACGCCCTTCAACATACAGTCGCATATAGCACGGCGTTCATTCAGCAACATTTTTTGACTGTACTGACCAATTTTGAAGCAGATCTGATAAATTCCCTAGGAGGAGTTTGTTCAAATACAAACCCAAAACGTGAAAATGACCACAAAATGGACGCCGTGAGTGAAAAGTAAAAAGTAAAATAGTCGACTTCCTGTGGGGTTTGGGGCATGGGTGCAAGAGGCTTTTTGTACGTCTCGGCACGTTACACATGCCTACCGAGTTTCATACAAATCGGTGAAACGTGGCGCCGGGGCTGCTTTTTAAAAATCCTGTAGGGGGCGCTACAAACACGACAAACACGACAAACACGATTTTTGGTATGTGAGCTACAGGCACCAGTCTACACATGTCCTGTGAATTTCATATTCATAACTATTACGGTCTCCGCAGAGTGATTTACCATTCCACCAGAGCGCCACCTAGTGGCGTGATTTTTTTTTCCTTTTTAGAGGAGCCTCAGGGAGCCATGGGCAATCATCGTACCAAGTTTCGTTTTAATCATACTTGTCGATGCGGAGATATGGACTTCTTCATTTTCTTCACCTTGAGGCGATGACCCGAAATTGTGCACAGTGCCTAATGAAGACATAAGGAACTCTTGACCCAAGGTTGGTGTCAATCGGACATACCAATGTGGAGAAATGCCCCACTACCTTTTTTGACGAAAAATCAACAGGAAGTGCTAATTTTATAACGTGCTTATTCTTTGAAATATCAAAATAATTTAAATTACTTACATGAAAAGTGCATTTAGGCTAGTAACTCCCGCATCGTTTGTGGCACATTCAAAAACCTTGTATCCACGCGTTCGGTGAATGTTCTGCATCTCCCCATATATGCCACGCCCACTTTCGCCTAAACAAATTTTCCACTAAAGCACGAAATGTCCATAAATTACTTTTTCGTGTTCCTCCTATGCGGTTTGTCCGATTTGCACGTTGTGCTATTTGTGACTCTACGTTGAAGGGCGTGTCCATGGCATGCCGTCAAAGTTGGCCATTTTGAATTTTGCTGCCATTTCCTGTCATTTTTGGCTTGTATTTGAACAAACTCCTCCCGGGCAATTTATCGGACCAGCATCAACATTAGTCAGTAGTGTCAAAATATGTTGCTGAATGAGCGTTGTGCTTTTTGTGACTGTATGTTGAAGGGCGTGTCCGTGGCGTTCCGTCAAAGTTGGCCATTTTGACTTCCGTGGTAATTTTTTATGAATTTTCGCCTTGTATTTGAATGAACTTCTCCTAGGGAATTTATCGGATCTGCTTCAATATTGGTCAGTACAGTCAAAAAATGTTGCTGACGGAACGCCGTGCTTTTTGTGACTGTACGTTGAAGGGCGTGTCCGTGGCCTGCCGTCGAAGTCGGCCACTGTGATGCCATTTCCAGCATTTCAGGGCCTCTATTTTAAATAACTCCTATAAATTTTATCATATTGACTTCATATTTGATCACTGCAATCTAGACACATTGGTGATCATAAGTTAATCAAATATTTACTGTGCGTCAAACTGTGTGTCTGTGGCGTGGCGCTAAATTTCCACCTTTCACAGTGAAGAGTCTCTCTATGAAAGCGTAAGTCTTTTGCAGTGTCTGAAACGTGACAACATAGAGTGGTCTCCCTCAGCTTCAGGCGATGAGGGCTTGTGAATGGGGTGACGTGAAAATTTCATGTTGTGGTCCGAACGTGTTATGAGTAATGGGCGCACCACGCCCCGAGTTGCGTGGAGTGCGAGGTCCCGCCCAATGCTGCTTGCAGCTTTAATTCAAATGTGTAATTCCAGAAACATGCAGAATGCAGTCCTGATGGTCAGGAAATATCAGTCAACATTTTACTATGCCGTTGCACCTTTATCATGCATGTGACACCTGGTTAATATTACAGGTCATAATTCAAAGGTGTTGATGATTCATCTGCTGCACACTTTATCACTTCTGGAACTTTTATGCTGGTTACAGCGAATCTGTAAATGTTACCATCCCCTGGAAAACAGCGATAGTAATCTGGATTATCTCAGCTGTATTAAATTACAAATTGATCCTGTCCCATTCAGAACTGGGAAATTCCCTGGGGGGAAACACCACCTGATGTCTGTCCATTATCTTCTTCAGTTTGAGGCAGAATACCGTCGCTTCGCTCTGAAGAGGAATGGCCCAGGTGGCTTCCAGGAGTTCTACCGCCTCCTCCAAACCATCCATCGCATCCCCGGTGTCGATGTGCTGCTGGGATACGCCGATGTCCATGGAGACCTCCTTCCAATCAACAATGACGACAACTTCCACAAAGCAGTCTCGTCAGCCAATCCTCTGTTGCGCATTATCATAACCAAGAAAGGTAAGACAAGTAAGTGGATTTCTGAACCCCTGCTTCTCTTAACCCCTCACTGGAACTAGACTAGACTGCTCTACCTGTTGGCTGTCCTTCCTTGTTTTTCAATCGTCTGCTGGTGTGTGTGTCTGTGTGTGTGTGTGTGAGAGAAACAGCCGCTATGTACAGCTGCAGGGAAGGTCTTTGTTCTCCACATCAAACACAGTTTATTCTTCATACATAACGCCACCTGATAATTCTCTGCCTGCCTTCTCTTTTTTGTTTATACTGTTTGTTTTCTCCTTCTGGGTAGTCTGTGTTGTGATTTTTTTTCCTTCTTGGGTATGTCTGCTTAATTAGACACTGCTGTGTAGGAAGGACATTGAGGAATACATTCTTATTCTTTAAGCTTGGCACATTCATTCTTGACCTTGGACAGCAATTGACAAAACAATTTTAAACAAATGGTTCAGTCAGTCGCTTTTTCCAAAGTATTTGAATGCATTACACAATCTCCATCAGCAAATGGAGTTTTTTAAGTTGTCTGTAAACTTTAGATGAATGAGCTATATGTATTTGAGCCTGTTGCAGATACTTGTCTCTTTCTTACTGTAAAAACACAACTTAAAGGTTCCGTGTGTAACAGTAGAAGGATCTATTGTCAGAAATTGAATATAATATTTATAGTTATGTGTTCTTTATTGTATGGTCATCTGAAAATAGGAATCGTTGTGTTTTTGTTACCTATGAATGAGACGTCTTCCAAGTTGTACCGCCATGTTTCTACAGTACCTCAGAACAACCAAACCAAACATTGTCTGTAGATAGGGCCCTTGAAAGCCTGTTCTCAATCCCAGATTGTTAAATACAGATGCCAGTGGTGTTCAGTTAGTTGCAATATTACCAGTATCAAACGAGTAAAATGTGTCTATATCAATATTGTAATCGTAATATTTTAAAAATTGTCATAATGATGAGATAGTTATACTTGTTTCACTCTCTTTTATAATAATATTATATATTATAATATTTAAAATACTTTTCTAATAAAAATAATAATACAGCTGATAAACCAATGTCAATTTCTTGCTTAAATTAACAATTTCTCGTTACCCACCACTTTAAACCATGTTTAGTAAACCACACCCAGTCTACGAATACGAGATAATTTAGCCTGTTGAACAGATACCAAGTCCCTTTCATCTACTGCACAAAAAGCCTGGACCAATGTGTAGGATTGGTGTGGTATATAGTGGTGTAGTTGCAGATCACAACTCCTTTTCTTCAGCCTACCCTTGCAAGTGCAATGGAGAAACTACAGTGGCTGTGGAAAACGCGAACCCTATCTATTGCCAGTGTTTGGTTTACATTCTCGGGTACTGTACCACGGCTACCATAGCGGTTCAACATGGCGGACTTCATGGAACCCTCTATAGATAAAAACATTTATTCATTCTAAGGTAAAAAAAACATAATACTTCCTATATTCAGGTTATAATACACTAATGTAAACTTAGTTATGCATACCCTATTCGGTAACACTTTATAATGAGTACACACTATTAAGCATTAGTTAAGCATGAATAAATAATGAAATCATCATTTATAACGCATGAATACACATTAGTATGTAGTTTATAAACAGTTTAAAATGTTTTATTCATCATTGATAAGCACATTAGTTATGGATTAGTAAATACTGAATTCATCATTTATAAAGCATGTTTCTGCTGTAAATAGTCATTACTATGTGGTTTATAATCACAGTTATAAATGTTTTACTCTTTATTGTACTGTACATTTCTGCATGCACTTGCACATCCACTATTCAGACATGTATTAATGATTAGTGACTGTGTTAGCAGATGTTCTATAAAACTCACAACAAATTCATTTTCTAATGATGGCCTATAAACAGTTATTAATGCAGGAATTCATGAATTGAGGCAGTTACAAAGCACTTACTACTCGTTAATTAAGTATTTTCCGTGAGCTCATCTAAAGTGAGCGCTATCTATGGCTTATTAAGCATTTACAAATGAGATATAAAGGCTGGCAATGCCTCAAGACTCACAAAATGTTCAGTTATCTTAACAGACGAAGGAGAGACACAACACAAAGGGATATAGAACATATTGTATTGATATTTATTGCAACTTCCCAAAATATTGTATGAAGACACTAATCATTAATACATGTCTGAATAGTGGATGTGCAAGTGCATGCAGAAATGTACAGTACAATGAAGAGTAAAACATTTATAACTGTGATTATAAACCACATAGTAATGACTATTTACAGCAGAAACATGCTTTATAAATGATGAATTCAGTATTTACTAATCCATAACTACTGTGCTTATCAATGATGAATAAAACATTTTTAACGGTGTTTATAAACTACATACTAATGTCTATTCATGCGTTATAAATGATGAATTCAGTATTTATTCATGCTTAACTAATGCTTAATAGTGTGTACTCATTATAAAGTGTTACTTTGCCAAATCATGTTGTTTCCTCATTAGCATATGCTTTTTGGCATGGTATCAGAACACGGGCCAGGAGTCGGTTACACACACACTAAATATACTGTCATTAAGAAAAGATAATCTTCTTCAGCTGCAGTAGGTAGCTTTTGTAGAGAAAATAATCTATAATAATTATCTGTTACATTTGCTGAAACTTTCACTATATCCTAACAGTAGTATATGAGACGAAATCTGGTTCCTCTGGCTCCTCCTTGTGCTCCTAATGGCATTTGCAAGAATTCACTGCACCTGAAAACAACCATTCAGAGCTGAGAAAGATAGTTGATTGTTGAGCCTCATTCCCAGAGTGGAGAAATGTCCATAAATCACATATTTTGAAATGATTTACAGCTGTAAAATTTATATTTTACCACTAAAGAGGAAGCTGTCTCATTATTTACCACTTGGAGAAACTGTGAGTTGGTGCAAAGTTTTAATAAAGGATTCCTAAATAGCAGAATCAGTAATAAATTATGTGGCACATAGAGGATATTTCTGCTAGCTGGTATAAAACATACAATCCATCCATCTATCCATCCATCCATCCATTCCTCTCCATGCTTATTTCTTCCATCATGTATTATTTGACTGATTATGACCGAATACTATAGTGCTGCATTGTTATCTCTCAGGGCACCTTCTCTCACTGTGTCTCTGTATCTTGCATAATTAATGATGTAATGATGCTAATCTGCTGCTTAGCAGGCCACTATTGTTGTTCAGAATCACAGACAGCTGCTAGTTTAATCAGATTAACTTGGAGGTCTGTGACCGAGAGGGAGAGGAAGAGAGCTGGAGAGGAAGAGAGCTGGAGAAAGCAATTTGTTAAGGGCAAAGAGACTAAGGGCAGAGAGAGGAAAACCTAACAAGAAGAATTTTGTTTTAACATCCTGTTTAGCAGGGCCATTCATTTTATCGTCCAAGCTCAATGGCCAAAACATGGGGAAATAATTAAATCCATCAAATCCAACAAAATCTTAAACACACACGTTGCAAGTTGCATTAGGAATAATAAACTTAATCTCCATTGTGCTTTAGAAGCTAGCCCGCACCTCATTAGTCAGTATTAGGCCATGAGTTAGCCAACTAAAAATCTACTCACCCAATCACTTTATCTTTCATCACGGAAGTGATTTATACACCACATGAATGGACAGATTCATTCTGCAGTGTGCTCTCTCTAGGTCTATGGAGGTTCAGGCTGCATGAACAGATTGATGTATTGGTTTGGTTATTTATTAGGTTTTTTTAAAATTCTGTTCTGTAAAATGTTCTCAAATTATTCCGAATAGCCTTTGCACCATTATAGCAGCTAGGGCTGCACAATTAACTGAAATATTATCGAAATCGCAACATGGCCAGGTACAATATGCAAATTGCAGAAGCTGCAGGTAAACTAAAGGTAAAATGAGTGACAAACAGCATTATAATGTAGTACTGTAGCTCTGCAGAGATGCCCTGGCCTATAAATCTTGTTTTCCAGATTTAAGAAAACATTTGGTTTTGTACAGACCCCAAACAATTTCACATCATTTAGTAGTTTAATAGTTTTTTCAGTGAAAATTACATTTCTGATTTAAAATGATCATCGCCACACTTAATCATATCATAAAATCTGTTAAAATAATTGTAATATTATATTTTTACCATATTTTGCAGCCCTATCTGTAGCTCTGTTATAATACTGCACTTTAATTAGGACTTCATAATGTATCAAATGTATGTGTAGACTAGATCTATAATGTATAACGACATTGTGTCCCTTATTTCATATTTCTTTCCTTCATTCTCTATGACCTTTACACAGTATTGTCTTTGTGTGTTTGCATGTGTCTGCATTTGTGCGGATGTGTTTTTAGTGTGTATGTGAGACTGAGAGAGTGAGAGTGAGAGAGCTGCCCATCTGGTGTTGTAAGCCATTAACCACTGAGTAGGATTATCTTACTCTAAAAGACTTCATCAATCATATCAGCTCCACTCAATGCTACCACTTTGTGTGTTTTGTGTGTGTGCATGTGTGTGTGTATTTGATGTGCACAATGTAAAGAGGTCTGAAAGGATTGCATAGAGGAGGTTGGTGTCTACATACAGTATGTGAATTACGTCTATCTGCATCAGTACTGCCTGGGTAACAGTCTTATTCTGTATTGTATGACAGTGGTAGCCATGGTAACAGCTCTGCAGGAGCACTATAGTGGTAGTTTTGGTGACAGTTCCATAGTATTACAGTGGTAGCCGTGGTAACAGTCTCATCCTGTGTTAGTATTAAAGTGGTAGCCATGGTAACAGCTCTGCAGGAGCACTATAGTGGTAGTTGTGGTGACAGTTCCATAGTATTACAGTGGTAGTCGTGGTAACAGTCTCATCCTGTGTTAGTATTAAAGTGGTAGTCGTGGTAACAGCTCTGCAGGAGTACTATAGTGGTAGCCATGGTAACAGCTCTGCAGGAGTTCGACATCACCGACACGATTTAGAGTGCACCATCAAATCTAAAATCTAAAGTTTG